GGAAGCCGGTAGACCCCAACCATCGGTTCAGTTCCCGTAGCTCCTGCCGCCTTGAGGGCCACAAGCGTCGAAGGCCGATTGGCATAGTGCTGCAGAGCCAGGACATCGTGCTCACCGGATATGAGGATGACCTCGTCCCCCCTTTTCGGAAAGACTGCCCATCTGGGCAACACCTTGTGGGGCCACCCCGCGGGAAGGCAGCTTGCCGGCAACACCAGCCAGTACTCCGCCAAAAGCGGAGGAACACGCTTCTTTGTGAAGGCGCGGAGATCGCGTGGTCGTAGAACACCTGAAGCGAGCTGGGACTGTCCGGTCCTGAGGCCCTTCGCCTGTAGCGCTGTAAGAGCAAAAGCGGAATAAGCCGTGGCCAACTCACGCGGGTACTCAGCCTCGCCAGCTGTAGGAAAGACCACGCCTTGTGCTGTGACAGTCGGTGTCCAGGAGGCATGCTCGTGTGAGCCATCGCAATCCACCGCCAAGCCGCTGCAAAGGCCTGGCGTTGCACGGAAGGTGGTGCGCTTAGCACGGTCAGAGCCCCACATGCAAGCATGAAAGTGTACGTCTTCCAAAGTATGCCATGCCGACGGGTCGGGAAGATCCTGCGCCAAGAGATCGGCCACCCGCCAGAAGAGCGAAGATGAGGGGTTTTCACAGCTCACGAAGGAACCCCGCAAGGACAGTATCCATATCGACAGAAGAGTGAGGACATAGAGCTGGTTTGCCGAGCGAACACGAGCTGCCTGAGATGCCGTAAGGCCCTGCAAGCCGAAAGGCTCCTCGTCAGAGCGCAATGGAGGCGAAGCAACGTGCGCCAACTCGGGGGGCAGAGGACGTTCACGGGCTCTGCTGGCAGTCCCACAAGGTGGCCCGAAGTGTGCAATGCACACATTCGCCGTGCACAACATTTCCAAAAACACCGAGACATCTTGTGCATCTGTAAGGTCCAGACGAACGACCTGGAGCTCGTTGCAGCGAACACGATGATCAACTGGTAGCACACTCAAGCCTTGGTCACGCAAGGCCACCGAAAGGCGGCCCCTGCCACAGAAAACCTCAATGGCCAAAGCCTCAGAAGGCTCACACAGAAATGTCACATCCCGTAGTGGCACTGGAGGAAGTAGAAAACGGTGACCAAGCAGCTCCAAATGTTGGGGGTGGGCACGAAGCGACCCTAAAACCCAGCGCCCGGAGCTGAGAGAAATCGAAGTCCTGTCCGTTGTACCCAGGTGTGAAGGCCACGACCAAAACCCGGCGTCCTTCCCAAGGAAGCGTAAAGTGCAGGCTATGCGAGTCAAGGAAGCATGGCCCACCAGTGGGGTCCAGCAAGACGCCTGGCATGCGATGTCCCTGCACAGACTGCCAAACTGTTCCCTGAGCATGATGTTGCCATACTTGACCCCCGGAAAATGTTGTGAGGGCGAGGAGCATGTTCGGGGCAGCCGGGTCGTTATTCACGTCGCGGTGAGGCTGGGTCTGCAGGTCGGCAAACAAAGCCACAGCTGTGAATGTATGCGATGTGTCCTGGCTGCAAACGTATGATGTTAGGGCCGATGTCACCGCTGGAAACAT